AGTATATGTGAGGGGGCAAACTCCTCAAGATGGGTGGTGACCATGGTGGCCGTTTAGAAGTCGGCCATCTTGGATACAACTTTTGTTTTTTCAATAGGAAGAGGGCCATGAGACACATCAAACTTATTGGTAATGTCACAAGAAAAACCAATGGTGTGCTTGGTTGCCCCACCCTGTAGATCAGACAAATAAGACGGTGTTTACTTGCGGACGTATGATGTCAGTCAGACCCAGTGAAATTACGTTCCTTTCAAAATGTTGCTCAACATTGTTTAGTGACATGTCAGCACATTTCAATGTGAAATGCAGTCAGAATACCATCAGATGCTCTGCAGACTGTTTGTAAAATAACTCTTAGCTCCTTTTTAGGATCTTAAAGTAATTCCAGGCTCATCTTCTCCAAGATTTCATGTCCAGTTGACTGACAAGAGGCACAGAGATGCAGAGATGAGACCTACAATGTCACACAGTAGATCTTGCCTTTAGCTCTAATAAAGTATGCTAATGCAGCTTTTTATCAGCTATCATTAGCTAGCAAATGAGGCTATCATCTAAAAACTGAATCTCTGATGGGAGCAGATATGAAAAATATTGTCTTTCAGTAGTACTTGTTGGTTCTATACCATTTAATACTGTTCAAAATGATTCTAAGGCTAAAAGCTGTAAGCGACAGTGAGCAGTTTTTTTTTAAACTAGTCATTATGGAATTGCAGTACACTATCCACACAGTATGACAAAAGAAACTGTGGGACTTGGACACCTTTTACCACAAAGAATAACCATGTCTGACCAGGTTTGATGGGGTGTAGCCACTGTATTTAATCTCTAAAAGTCCATGAAAAATCAGGACAGAGATGCTAGCCACTGGACTCAGATAAAGACCTAATAACATCCGGGGAAATTTTAACCCCAGAAATGTTCTTATTTAACAAAATGCTTCCTCATTTTGGGTGTATTTCTGGTATATAGCAAAAGACAAGAGTTTTATCCATTCCCTTGCATTTCCATTTCTTTCACATTCTTGCTATGTCAGGTAAAAAGCTTAGCAAACTGCACAGATAAAACCACAAGCCAAACTCTTCAAGTGTCCAAAAGAAACAATCATCTGTGTTCTCATGCAGATCGTTGCAACTGGAGTGTGCCACACTGACCTGTACCACCTTTTTGAGGGTATGCACAAAGATGGGTTCCCAGCAGTGCTTGGACACGAGGGAGCCGGCATAGTAGAGAGCGTTGGCCCCGGCGTTACTGAGTTTCAGCCAGGTCAGTTAAAGCTTTCATTTGTCTGTCTTGTCATGTTCACCAGGTGGTCTCTGTAAGATGCAGCATTCTCAGCCTTGTTTTTGAATTTTAGGAGACAAGGTGATCCCTCTGTTCATCTCCCAGTGTCGGGAATGTCGCTTCTGTAAGAATCCTAAGACCAATCAGTGTGAAAAAGGCTGGTGAGTTAATCGTTTTCTTAATTTCGCTTAATCTTAGAATTTGTTTTATATGTACCCTCTGCCACAAAGTACTATATTTTTTAACCAATGTTTTCTGTACAGGGCTGCTGATAGTCATGATGTGATGGCTTTAGCAGAATCCAGGTTCACCTGTAAGGGGAAGAAGGTGCTGCAGTTTATGGGGACCAGCACCTTCTCTGAGTACACTGTGATGAACCAGATGGCTGTGGCTAAGATCGACCCGGCTGCTCCTCTGGACAAAGTCTGCCTCCTTGGGTGTGGGGTCTGCACTGGATATGGGGCAGCTGTTAATACTGCTAAGGTGTGTATGTAGGTTTGACAGCAGGCGAAGATTGATGTTTGTTACTGTATGAAGTCTTAACAAGTCCAGAGTATCCAAACTGACTATTTTTTTCCTCCTGCAGGTTGAGCCGGGCTCCACCTGTGCCGTGTTTGGTCTGGGAGCTGTGGGTTTGGCTGCAGTCATGGGCTGCAAGGCTGCAGGAGCCAAAAGGATTATCGCTGTTGACATCAACCCAGACAAGTTTGAGAAGGCCAAAGTGTTTGGAGCCACTGAGTTTGTGAACCCAAAGGATCACAACAAACCCATCAATGAAGTTTTGGCTGAGATGACTGGTGGAGGTGTGGACTACTCCCTGGAATGTGTCGGGAACGTGGCAGTCATGGTGAGGCAGACTGACAAATTCGAATAAAGACTGGATCAGTTTGTAAATATGGTCAAGAACCCTATGTTTACAAGTCAGCTGACATTTGGCTGGTTTTATCATGTAGCGCAGTGCCTTGGAGTCTTGTATCAAAGGCTGGGGTGTCAGCGTGCTGGTTGGCTGGACTGATCTCCACGACTTTGCAGCCCGACCCATTCAGCTCATTGCTGGACGTACATGGAAGGGCTCTTTGTTTGGAGGTGAGGCACATGTGATCATCCACACTAACTAATGTAATTTAATGTAACTACCACCGCAGCATTACTGAGCACAGTTTCCAGTTTTGGGGAGATGTTTCTGCATCCATATGCAGCTAACTTTCTTCAGCTTTACATCAGCACATTGAGTGCAGAACTTTGAAGAGCACCAGGTTGTATTCAGCACATTCAAACATCTGCACATTTTCCATAATTGGTTTCACACACCAAATTACCAGGAACAGTACCTCCTGTGCTGTGACAGTGGCCAGAAGGCTTGAAGTGAGAAAAGACTAATTGATGTTATAATATGCTTTTTATATCTGGGGCTCAGGATTTAAGAGTAAGGATGGCGTCCCTGAGATGGTTAAAGCTTACCTGAACAAGAAGGTGAAGCTGGATGAGTTCATCACTCATAAAATGACTTTGGACCAGGTCAACGATGCCATTGAACTGATGAAGCACGGCAAATGGTACATACTTTCTCAATTATTACTAACTAGATGCAAAAATGAAAAACTAATAGGTGCAAGTCTTCTAATTTGTGCTTTGTATTTGTTTCCCAGCATCCGGACAGTCCTGAGTGTTTCTCCACAGTAAGACCACTTCATTCCTCAGTAATCTGAAGCCATGCTCTACAGTGAACACCATTCAACAGATTATGTGCAGATTGTGTTTGTGAGAATTATCATCAGTGTTCACATGATCAAAATTTGAGGAGTGATTGTGCAGCAAAATAAATGGTTTTAACAGATGACTGGTTTCCTCACTTCTGATCAGATTTGGTTGTGTTATTTTATAAGTCAGTACAGAGGCTGTAATTCAGTTCACTATTTCACTGGTTTTAGTGTGGCACAAGCTTTCTAGTCAGTTTAGATTTACAGACTTGTCTAATCAACTATATGTACTTAGGTTGGTAAACAGTGTTGAAATTACACTACTAGTGATGAGATCATGGATTTATTACCACAGCTATTTCTGCCTGTTGCACTACTTTCCTGGTAACGTCAAAAGGAGGCAATATTTCAGTTAAAAGAGTTAAAGCTATTAACTTTCTCCTATAAACCCCTTTAGAAAGCCTTTTATATTTTCTCACTCAGATTCTTGCTTCAAATATTGACAGGGGTTATACACGAATGCACTAAGATGCATTTGTTTGGCTGAATGATGCAGTTTTTCCTTTTATATTGAACTTTTATTTGCAAAAGTACCCATCCAGACAGAATTACTTAGCCTTCTTTTCAGTAACAGTTCCTGGAGTTCTAGAGGAAGCACAAAGAGAACATGTGCAGAAGGGTCTTCCACAGGTTTGAACCCAGGGCCAACTTCTTGTTGGGCGATTGAGGTAATCACTGAGCCACCATCGTACTGTGCATTCAGAAATACTGTCCTGAGTCATTTTTCTGGGGTTGTTGGATGAAAAAACAAAACAAACAAAACTGTCTTTCACTGTAGATTCATATTAAATTCATATTATATTTATATTTTTATTTTTTTATTTTTGTACTTGATAGATAGCTTAGCTTAGAATAAACTCCCATCAATTATGATGATGGTGATGATGATGATTATTATTATTATTATTATACATTATTTGCAGTCGGACTTTGAGTCATTTTAACGTTCCAGGTCAGCTCATTTAGGCATGCCTCATTAGCCGCTTTCCTTATAAGGAAAATGCAGCTGCAAAGCGAATATTGGCCAGCCCTTAATTACCACCCTGCACCTTAGAGCATCCGTTGTTTCCCACCTGTTGTAGACCCGCTATTTCCTTCAGGTATGTGCAAGTTGCTTTCTTTGTGATTGTGTTTACGGTCTCGTTCTGCCCTGGAAAAGCAAAAATTAGCTGGCTGAACTCGTTTAACTGATCTCTCCTTCATTGCTGTGTTGTTGTGCATTTCTGAAATGCTGCCAGTAATGTTAGAGGTTTTCTAAGCAGTGGGAACTCAGAATCATTGTTTCAACATGGTAACCCAAGCCAGCTCATGTTTCATTATAAACTAGTAAGATGAGTCGAGTAACTGAAATAAGTGACCTTGTCCTAGAAAGGTTGATCAGAGTGAGTTTCAACACCTGTGTTCCTCCTGAGTTAAGTGAAGCAAATCCATCCTAAGTGAAATGGTATCCTTTTAATGTGCCCTATGTAGCATTTTAACTTAAAGAATTAGAGGGGACAATGGAAAGCTTTTTGGGTTCCTTGTCTTCCCAGTTATAATTTACCCTACTTTAAATTTTATTAACAAATAAAAGAACCACATGATTGATGATTACATTTGAGTTTAAAGAAATTGAATCAAATTAAATGTAAATCAGCTTTAATGTAACTGGGATTAAAGCCACTGCAGATTGAGTCAAAGCTACAGTGTACTTATGCGTGTGTGGTGTTCAGACCCAGTCAGGCCTCCTTTAACCTTTCAGTGGAAAATCTGAAGCTTTAGACTGATTTGATAACAAATATTGTACCTCTCCAAATCAACCTGTCTGCATCCTGGATTCAAAACATCTTTGAAATCAATTTAAGATTAAGATTAGACAATTCATTTACAGACTGGCCCTCAAATCGTCGCGTTATTGCAAAAGATGAGTTTAGATTTAACCTTACATTTAAAATTCAACTTTTTGGTTTAACACCTATATTTCACATTTAGATGGAACTGGTTTGCAAATGTTGCAAACATGGTTTGAAGAGTTTTTGTTTTTTAAATCCACATTTTAAAGTTTGGAACCAAATTGACTTCAGCATGGTTTAGTTTACAAAACGCATAACATACAGGTTAATTATAAAGCTTGGATGTCATATGTGGGGAACATTTGTATTTGAAGCCACGTCTGTTTAACCTAACTGGTTAATGGTGGTAGTTGGGTAAATGAGTTAAAGTCTAGCTATAAACAAGCCCCACCCCCTCTAGTTTCATTCAAAAGAACACCGTTCACAACATTTGAAAGCATCACAAGCTCTCTGATATGAGAACTCTGCTGGGTTATTGATTGGTTTTAATTTTGAACTAACACTGCTAATACAGAGGAAAATTATAAGTTTGTGTCCCCATGAACTGCTGTCACACTACTTGTAACTACTCAAGTCCATCTCTCCACCTTTTTGTTACAGAAATGACCACTGCTGGTAATGTAAGTGTAAAATTTCCTTTCTTTTATTTCATTCTATAATTTTTCATTTTTCAAAATTAAGGCTGAAAAAGGCTAATGGAGGCTAATTATAGTAATTTAATCATGTGCATTGGACTTGGAATTTTCTTCTTCCTCCAACTTCCCCTTTAGGTCATCAAGTGCAAGGCAGTAGTAGCCTGGGAGCCCCAGCAGCCTGTGGTGATTGAGGAGATAGAGGTAGCACCACCCCAGGCCAATGAGGTCCGCATCAAGGTGAGACGTCCACTTTCAAGACTTGCAGGCCCTCTCATCCTCTGAAATGATCCTGGAGCAATGTAGTACCTCCATAAAGTTCCTGTTTTACCAGAAGATTCACCAGAAACAACCTTGACTTTGGATTTGATTATTATTCCCGTGGTTACAGATTGTTTCAACAGCGCTGTGCCATTCAGACCTGTACTGCCTGTTGAAGGTTGTGGAGAAGGAATTTTTCCCAGTCGTCCTTGGCCATGAGGCGGCCGGCATTGTCGAGAGTGTTGGGCCTGGAGTCACAGAATTTCAGCCAGGTCAGTTTTTAACTTTGAACAAATTAAACTTCTCTCCGTGAACAAGAGATTGACCCTGACATCAGCCACAGCTGTTCCCATGGTGTTCAGGTTGGTTTTAGGAAGAGACTTGATTGCCTTTGTCCAAAGGGTGGTTTTAATTGTAAATTGTGATGTTCAAATTTTTAAATTCTCAATCCAAGTAAATGTGGTCCATCAGCGGGCACTCGGTCAATACGCCAAAGCAGAACGTGTGACCATTTATTTTTCCTCAGGAGACAAGGTGATTCCCCTCTACCTTCCTCAGTGTGGAGAATGTCGCTTCTGTAAGAGCCCTAAGACCAATCAGTGTGACGTAATTTGGTGAGTACAATCTTGCTTTATTCTCACCTCTCATCGCCACCATGTGCTGATGCGTACTCTTGAGGTTCATGTTTTCCCTCTATCTTGTTCAGGACTAGAATGGGTTCAAAAGAAATGGCACTGGAAAAGTCCAGGTTAACCTGTAATGGGCAGAAGCTGCGGCAGTTTATGGGAATCAGCACCTTCTCTGAGTACACTGTGGCTCATCAGATGGCTGTGGCTAAGATTGACCCTGATGCTCCTCTGGATAAAGTCTGCCTCCTTGGGTGTGGGGTCTGCACTGGGTATGGGGCAGCTGTTAATACTGCTAAGGTGTGTATGCTGCTAGAACTGAAAGGTTTTTTTTTTTTTTTGTTTTGTTTTAGTAACTACCTGTAAACACTCATCCAAAATGAATCCCATTTACTGAAATCATCTCCTGCAGGTTGAGCCAGGCTCCACCTGTGCCGTGTTTGGTCTGGGAGCTGTGGGTTTGGCTGCAGTCATGGGCTGTGAGGCTGCAGGAGCCAAAAGGATTATTGTTGTTGACATCAACCCAGACAAGTTTGAGAAAGCCAGGGAGTTTGGAGCTACTGACTTCGTCAATCCCAAGGATCACAATAAACCCATTAGTCAAGTGCTAATGGAGATGACTGGTGGAGGTGTGGACTACTCCCTGGAATGTGTTGGTGATGTGGAATGCATGGTAGGGGAATTTTATGAAATTTAGATTCTCAATAGAGGGAATTAAGTGAAACCATTTCCTTTTTGTTTTTAAAACACAAAAAAGACCTTGAGTCAGTTTAGTCTTTTCAGTGACTTCTATCCTTCTGCTGACTTGTTACCATTTCTCCATCTAGCGCAGTGCTTTGGAGTCCTGTGTGAAAGGCTGGGGTGTCAGTGTGATCGTGGGATTGACAGACATGCAAGACGTAACCACCCGACCTCTTCAGCTCACCTCGGGACGTACATGGACTGGCTGCCTGTTTGGAGGTGAGACAAATGTGACCATAACCAGTAGTTCTAGTGGGCTGGACCAGCGTACAACATTTTCACATGAGTGATTAAATCTGATGGGCAGCTTACAACAAATTGTTTGTGGTCTAAGCTGGCATGCTTCTCCAAATTAGGATTAAAGTATGCTTGATATGCAGCCCACCTGTTATAAGGCAAGAAGCGGGGCACTCCCTGGAGAGGTCCCCAGTCAGCTGGACATATTCATGTCATGAATTGGACTGAGATCTGCATAATTTCTTGCATCTTCTGTTGTAACAAACTGGTTAGTGCCGTTCTAACTTGTGTGTCTTTGGGTGGGGTCAGGATTTAAAAGTAAGGATGCTGTTCCTAAGATGGTGAAAGACTACCTGGAAAAGAAACTGAAGCTGGATGAGTTTATCAGTCACACTATGACTATGGATGAAATCAATGATGCCATTGACCTAATGAAGCAAGGCAAATGGTACGTACAGCCTCAGCTGACATAACTTAATTACTAGATGTCCAAAACGAAGACCTAATTTGTGTTGTTTATTTCAAAGCATCCGGACAGTTATGAGTGTTTGTCCAGAATGAGGTAAAACGCAGCAAATGGTAGATTTGCACTCACTGGCTGACTAAATGACACATTAATCATTCTTCTTTCTGTATCCAGGTGGTCATGAGTTTCTCCACAAAATAAACTCCAGTCCTGAATTCAACAACCCTAAAATAACTCATCACTACACTGGATTTCAAACGGTACACTGTGCATAAAGGGAATCAGACATCCATGGATGGTTGAAATCTGTGTTGATAAGAGAAACTAAACACTGTTTAAAGAGCAAAATAAATGGTTTAAACAAATCTGTGTAGTTTATGCTTTTGTTGTACAATATATTAAGCAATGCATTGAATAGTGCCAGATGTAGTGACTCACATTTCATTAAGACTCGTGCAAATATTGCCTTTTAAAGTTTATTTTTGTTTAACACACTTTGCAATGCCTGAACTAATTGTTTTCAGAGTTTGACTATTTAATAACTGCTGCTCACATTTACACACAGCCTAATATAAATATGTACTTAACATAGCAGGGAGAGCCGTCGTCATCCCGCTAGTTTTGTCACAGATGTCCCTTGTTAACTTCTACTTTAATGTAATTGCTTATGGCAGTGAACACAACTTCAGAATTCCAAACAGATCTGCCATTTGTATTCCTATCCTCAGATCCTTTAGATCCTGGCTTCACATGCACTTGCTTCAATCTTCTGCCATGACCACTCAGTACCAACTGTACACTTAAACTAATAGTTCTAAATTCCATCCATCCATTCGCTTCCGCTTATCCTTTTCAGGGTCGCGGGGGGCGCTGGAGCCTATCCCAGCTGTCATGGGGCGAAAGGCGGGGTACACCCTGGACAGGTCGCCAGTCTGTCGCAGGGCTAACACATAGGGACAGAACCATTAACATTCACTCGCACATTCACACCTAGTGGCAATTTGGATTATCCAATTAACCTATCCCCACAAGCTGCATGTCTTTGGACGGTGGGAGGAAGCCGGATCAGGAGCAGATCTGTGCTTCTGTGTTCAGCCAGGGTTTAGTTTGCCATCCTACAGGGGGGGGACTGAAACTTCAGCTTAAGTCCATATTCTAGTTTACTCATGTTGTCACATGTTGGAGAAAACTTGTCAATTGCCCTTTGACCCTCTTTAACTCAGGACACATTGGGAATGTCCTGAAACACTTGCTGGCTTGCATGCACTGCAAGAATGAAGTGTGATAACAGGACAGCATACTGCATTTGGGATGGGTGTGGTGTGTTTTGGTTTTCTTCATAAATAGTATGCTATGTAGTCTGCATATTCTGAGGCACGTTGGAAATTAAAAATATAGTTCAACAGTTTTAGGATTACCTAAAGACTTTTGCATTACGGAATTTTTGTCATATTCTGCAAGTACATGTAAAAAGTGCTGATTTCACAATACCACCACAGGTGAGCAATATTCCCCGAGGCAGTAAGACCATGTACATCTTGTCCTTTGGACAGAAACTTGACTATAATAATGGAAGTACATGTAATTCCCAGATTGTAAACGGTCTCATATAAAATGCTTGCGTAACCGTGCTGGGTAAACCTGACCTCTGAAGTCCCTACCAACAAATGTTTATGCGTCATCGCAGAATTTAAAGTCCATTCTTCCGTCGAGTTTTCCTCATTTGGTTGCAGAAATGGCCACAGCTGGTAAGGTAAGTAAATCATTTAAATGTGTTTCAATTACTTTTGCAGATTTTTATTTTTTTTATAAAGGAAAGAATATCATAACACTTTACATGTGCTATGATTTAATGGTTTGCTTTGCACATATTTTAGCGAAATCATATTTTCCTCTTGAGATGGTAGTATTGTACTGATTTTACTGCTTAATTTATTAAGAATAGAACCACCAGGAAGGGTCACATTGAGTCATGTGTGGCATAGCTGCACTGAAATAGTCTGCATTGAAACTGTGAGGCAGGCATCAAAAACACATCTATTTAAAATTAACCTCAAAGCCAACTACAAAAACACAAACTAATATTGTAAAATTATTTAAACTGAACAAAGTTTATCATCTCATCCACATCTGCCTCTAAGGCTCATGACAAAATGTGTCTTAAAATTGTGTTGCCAGGGCAGCCAGCATGTGGTTGGATATTAATTTCTATGGGGTGAAAATGACCACCTCGGTGGTGCTGGGTAGACCCTCTAAGTCAGGGGTGTCCAACTCAAGGCTCCAAGGGCCGATGTCCTGCAGGTTTTAGATGTGTTCTTGATCCGACACAGCTGATTTAAATGGCTACATTACTGCCTCAACATGTCTTGAAGTTCTCCAGGAGCATGGTAATGAACTCATCATTTGATTCAGATGTGTTGACCCAGGGTGAGATCTAAAACCTGCAGGGCACCGGCCCTTGACGCCTGGAGTTGGACACCCCTGGTGTAAGTGGTCATTGTTACAAAACTTTTGAAATGGCACTAATGGTAAGGGGGGTCAGCCACTGATTAATAATTTCCTTTATTGCATATTTAAAGATTTTTATTTAAATTTCTCCATCTGCTCTGTTAAGTTGGTTTACAGAAATGACCTTGGTGGATAATTTTAATATTGTAACTCTGCCATTTAAGGTCATCAAGTGCAAGGCAGCAGTGGCCTGGGAATCTAGCAAGCCTCTGGTGATTGAAGAAATAGAGGTAGCCCCACCCCAGGCCAATGAGGTCCGCATTAAGGTAAGAAGCAGCCGGCTTTGATGCTCTTGTATGCATGTAAGTTCTTTAAGCTTTTCTACAACTAAACTCCTATAATCTCATTCAGTGCTTCTTTTACCGTCATATTTGCTGTAGATTGTGGCAACATCTCTGTGCCATTCAGACCTGTACATCCTTTATGAGAGTCTGGACAAATCGCTCTTCCCAACCATCCTCGGTCATGAGGCAGCCGGCATTGTAGAGAGTGTTGGGCTGGGAGTGACGGAATTTCAGCCAGGTTTGTTTGGGATTGTTTAACATCCAAAAATATGCTTATTTGCATTTTGTGCAAGAGAGAAATAAGACTGATCTCAATCCTGTGTCTAAAGTCTGTAACAAATTTGCAACAAAAATGCAAGCAACTATAAGACAAAAAGGTAATGTTTCATTTAGTATTCTTTTCTGTACAAGAAATTTATATTTTAGAATTTTAAAGATATTTTATCTTGCAGTGTTTTGAAAACAAATTCATGCTGGAATGGATGGAGTTTAAAAATGTTCAGACTTTCATAATTTGTTCATACGCAAGGTCAGAAACACTTCTAAATTTGTTCATGGAGCATAAACAAGTTAGGTGCTATGTGAAATGTTTGTCATCCTCTGTGGATGTGAAATGTTTGACAGGTTACGTATGGATTTGTGTATGCATGCTGTAAATGAGGCTCAATGCTTTCTGTCTTCCAGGAGACAAAGTAATTCCTCTTTTCCTACTCCAGTGTGGAGAATGTTGCTTCTGTAAGAGTCCTAAGACCAACCGGTGTGAAGAAGCAATGTGAGACTCATTTCATGCCATCTTATTCAGTTTTCATGCGCTTTTACACACACTGCACTTTTTTACAGACTAGATATAAATGTTATGAAAGTATTCCGACTACTCGTCTTTTTATCAACTAGGTAACTGTTCATTTCATTCCTTCAAGAGGAATACTTTTAAAAGTTGTTTTGGATTTATTTTTTTATGCACATCAAATATGTCTTGTTTAGGAAAAGGCACGCCCAGAAAAGCACAGAACATTCCAGGCTTACCTGTAAGGGGCAGAAACTGCAGCAATTTATGGGGACTGGGACCTTCTCTGAGTACACTGTGATGAACCAGATGGCTGTGGTTAAAATCGACCCGGCTGCTCCTCTGGATAAAGTCTGCCTCCTTGGGTGTGGGGTCTGCACTGGATATGGGGCAGCTGTTAACACTGCTAAGGTGTGGATGGTGGGCTAACGGAATAGCCATTGGAATTGGACATTTTGTGCTGGGGGTGTTTAATTTAATTTTTATGTCCAGTTTTGATCAGCCTCCTTTCCTGCAGGTTGAGCCGGGCTCCACCTGTGCCGTGTTTGGTCTGGGAGCTGTGGGTTTGGCTGCAGTCATGGGTTGCAAGGCTGCAGGAGCCAAAAGGATTATCGCTGTTGACATCAACCCAGACAAGTTTGAGAAGGCCAAAGTGTTTGGAGCTACTGACTTCGTCAATCCCAAGGATTACAATAAACCCATCAGCCAAGTGCTGATGGAGATGACTGGTGGAGGTGTGGACTACTCCCTGGAATGTATTGGGAATGTGGAATGCATGGTGAGGAAGATTTAATCTACTCGGTAGTATCAAATGTCTAGTTTAGTAAAAGTCAACTAAACCTTCTTGCTCTTTTCCAGCAGTGGTTATTTAAGAAGTCCTTCATTAACATATCCTTGTATCCTTCTACATACAATTCTGCTGCTCCGCTGTTTCTCCATGTAGCGCAGTGCTTTGGAATCTTGTGTGGCAGGCTGGGGCGTTAGTGTCATTGTTGGATGGACAGACTTGCATGACGTAGCCACCCGACCTATTAATCTCATGCTTGGACGTACATGGACTGGGTGCTTGTTTGGAGGTGAGATAAATATAAGGGAGCTTACGGTGTCTTTATTAAGCTTATGTTGAGATTCATTACAGCTTGTCGTTTTGTCTTTTGGGGATCAGGATTTAAGGGTAAGGATGGCATTCCTAGGATGGTTAAAGCATATCTGGACAAGAAGGTGATGCTGGATGAGTTCATTACTCACAACATGACTGTGGACCAGGTCAACGACGCCATTGAACTGTTGAAGAACGGTAAAAGGTAGATTTGCTCTACTATACTTTCTCCTCCATTATTGAGTCAACAGCAACACAGATTAGACCAAAACTTTGCTCAAATCTTTTCTCCTTTTTCCCCACAGTATCCGCACAGTCATGAGATTTTCTCCACAATAATGCTGCTGTGCTGCCTTCAATAACACTAAAGTTACTACCAGCGAACACTAATCAGTGTTTGAAGAGTAAAATAAATGGTCTCCCAGATGGATCTGTGTGTGTGTGTGTACTCATTTTTTTGGGCTGCATGTTCAGTGTCTTCGGCTATATCCACGATTTCACTACTAAACTGTACTTAAAGGGGCCTATTAGCTGCCAGCTGCTGGAAAGGTGGGGTGAAAAAGTTGCCAGCTTACAGCCAACAGACTTGCTTAACCATTCACACCTACAGTAAATTTAGAATCACGAGTTCACCCAACATACATGTTGCGATCGTGGCTCAAGAGTTGGGAGTTCGCCTTGTAGTCA